ATCATAATTATTTAAAAAATTAAATAAAAAAATCAAAAATATTTAATAAAAAATAATTTTTTATATCACAAGTCATATTCAAAGCAAATCATAACATATATAAGTTAAAAACCATAAAATCAAGTGAAACAAAATGATTCAAATTAACTATAACATAATATTTAAGGTAAAACATATTAAATAATAAATATAATTATATAACTATAATTAAAAAATAAATTTGGGACTAAAAAAATCATAAAAAAATGATATTGTTTGGTTTAATTTAAAAAAAAAACAATCTCACATGACTAAGAAACATAGAAGAGCATCCCAAAAGTCTAAAGAGTAAAAATATGAGAACAAAGTCTAAAGAGTAAAAATATGAGAACAAAACAATCTCACATGGCTAAGAAACATAGAAGAGCATCCCAACTAACTTCTATAAATAATAGAGGTAATTTGACATTCAAAATCATGGAACCTTTTGGTGAACATTGAGTGAATTATTCTTTTACTTTAATCAAGCTCGAATTTTAGGCTTCAATCGAGCTTCTAATTTTTTTTTAGTTTAAGCATTTTCGAGTTCAAGTTTCAATATTATATTTCGAGTTCGAGTTGAACTTAATAATGTTTAGCTAGTGAGTTTGAGTCGAGTTGAGCTTACTTTTAAAGTTTTCAAGTTTGAGTCGAGCTCAGCAATACTCGAGTTCGACTTGGCTCGTTTAACAAACGACGTCGTTTGGTTTAATTTTTTTTAAAAAAATACAAAATTGACGATTTTTTTCGATTTTCAATCGATCCGATTTGAACGATTTAACGATTCCGACCGATTCACTAATAGCGTTCAATCGATGTAAATTAAATCGAACTAGATAACGATTTTCGGTTGAATTAACCGATCTAGTTCGATTTTCAAAACAATAGTCTACGTTTCGAGGACAAAAGAAAAAGTACTGTAAAAACTCGGCTCTCGAGCTCAGTAAACCACATTCCATCCCATTCGATGGCGGCTATCACTCGCTTCTTGAAACCCTCGGCTAACTCTCACGTAAGGATATGCTTGTACTCTACTTCGGCCGTCGCTGCCGAATCTAATCCACACGCGCCCTCTCCCTTCAGTGACTACAAGATCACGCGCCGAGATCCGAGCGAGAGGAACGTGCAGTGGGTGTTTCTCGGATCTCCAGGCGTCGGTAAAGGAACCTACGCCAGCCGCCTCTCGACTCTCCTCGGCGTACCTCACATCGCCACCGGCGATCTCGTCCGTGAAGAACTCGCCTCCTCTGGACCCATCGCCAAACAAGTTCGTACTTTTTTCGCTGATCAAACTTTTAGATCTGTTTAAAACCCGTTTTTAATGTTATTTTCCCACTGAGATCTGCTAACACCATTACGAGTTTATGAAATTAATTAGTGAGCTTTAAGAGTTTGCTATAGTGTTTATTTTCTGATGAAATTGTTACTTCATTGCTTGGCTACAGCTAACGGAGATTGTGAACCAAGGAAAATTGGTTTCGGATGAAACTATAATAAGTTTATTATCAAAAAGACTTCAAGATGGGGAGGCTAAAGGTGAATCGGGATTTATTCTTGACGGCTTTCCTCGAACCATAAATCAAGCAGTAAGAATTTAATTTCACTAGTTTGTCCATACTTCTATTTCTGCTCAATGCCGCTGGCTTAATAACTTTTTTCCGTTTAGGAAATATTGGAAGGAGTAACAGGCATTGATTTAGTGGTGAATTTGAGGCTTCCGGAGAATGTCTTGATTGAGAAATGTCTTGGTAGAAGAATTTGTGGTCAGTGCGGGAAAAATTTCAATGTGGCTTCAATTAATGTGAAAGGTCAGAACGGCTGCCCCGGGATTAGTATGGCTCCTCTTCTTCCTCCTTCAAGCTGTATTTCAAAGCTTATAACTAGATCGGATGATACAGTAGAAGTGGTGAAAGAGAGACTCCGGATATACAATGAAAAGGTATCGGTTTGTTCTCTAATCTTTCTTCATGTAAATGTTAGTCAAACATGAAAAATTTCTTGAAATCTACATGGCAAATGATATAAATAGAACTCAGAATGATTTTCTTCTCCTATGAAATGGGAAATTTGTTTTCTTCTAAGCAGGATAATTGCAAGTTCTTTCTGCTAAAACTTTTATCACCTTTGTATTTACTGTGCCGGAGTAAATTAAAAGAGCCTCTAAATTAAACACATCTTCACCTAATTGAACCTTGAGTTGGTTGAAAATTGGTGAAAGGCATCATTGGTTTCCATCCAATTGCTCAATTTTGTGGCAATAGGTATTTGAGTCCTCAATGAATTAGAATAAATGGTTTAGGGGTTAATTGATGGTCATAAAATGCTAGCAGCCTGGATGATTATTGGATTTCAGTTTAGGAGTTTTTTTACCTTTGTTTTGGGATAGGGTGGGAATCAAGATGCTCATATGGTGCCCATTCAAAATGAAAGTTTTGCATTTTCAGATTCTCCTTACTGCTAATATACTTTCTTCGTTTACCAATAACCATTTGTCGGTGTCCAATTTCGCTCACAGAGTCAGCCTTTGGAGGACTACTACCGCAATCAAGGGAAGTTGATGGAATTTTATTTACCAGGAGGCATCCCTGAATCTTGGCCAAAATTGTTGGAGGCTCTCAACCTTGACGAGTTTGATGAAAGGCAGTCTGTTGCAGCATAAGGTATTACACAGACTACTTTAGTTTTATAGGCAAGTCTCGTATTCTTTGCATGCTGGAGTAGCATGCTTATCAATTTTGCATTCACAAGATAAAGATACTTGTTATCCTTTTGCAAATAAATACTTTGAAAACTTTTCCTTAGTCGGATTATTATATATTTGCTTACAAAGGAGATTATGTTGTATCATAATTCGAGAGAGATACAAAGGGAAGGTTTTGTGAGAGATTTTCATATCCAAAAACAGCTTTCAGAAATAATACTTCTACCATGGTAAAATCATTGTGGGAAACAATATTTTCTTGCTGCATACTATAGTTGTGTTGTGATATAAGTACCAACTTCATTGTTCATCTTTTGACTCTTGGATCTCTTATGATTGGCAAGCTGGCAAATATGCTTGAGGTTACTCTGGTTGTCAATTTGACGCATCCGATTTTTGAAAGTTAAAAAGTTATCAACTTATGATTTTATTTTCCTTTCCCCCCCTCTCCAATTCTTCTCTACTCTCCTTCTCATTCTCTTGTTATTCATGTTCATCTAAACCCAGAATTCTAAAAGTTGCCCAAAATCCGGCAACCAACAATTAGCCCAATCCTCGTTTGCCAACCACTAGTCATTAGTTGTAGGGGTGTTCAATCAGTCGGTTCGAGAACCGAACTGTCACTTACCAACCACTAGTCATTAGTCATAGGGGTGTTCAATCAGTGGGTTCGGTTAACTGACCGAATTGAACTACCCAAAACCTATTACTAGAAGTTTTTTTTTACCTTTTAATTGTTAACTGAATCAAACAAGTTTGATTAATTCGGTCGATTGACTGAATTAACTTAAATTTATAACTAATATAAATTATATATTAAATATTAAATATTTTTTTGGTTAATTCGGTTAAAACCGAATTATGAACACCTCTCATTAGTCATCAATGGCAGCTTGAGTTGAAACATGACCCTGGACTTGTTTTTGCTTCCTCTTTTAAATTCAACCTTAATTTCGTGTAAATCGTCCTTGATTTTCTTAGAGCGGGTAGATATGACAACAAAGCTCCAATTGCTGGACTTGAGACTAATCCTATAGAAATTTTGGAGTACGTGTAGGATCCTTACATATTGTCCAAGCCCAGAGATGGTAATGCTTGACGTAAAATTGGGGCAAAATTGACCCAATAGATTAGGCGGATAAAAAGATTGGCCCATTAGACTATTTTCAAAATTAATTTGAAATTTACGGTATTATTTTATTGTATAATATCTCAAAATTAATTATATCTTTAACGTATACTATATTGCATGAAGATAAAGCTTCTTCGAATTGCTCATATATTGACGAGCCACTCTAATTGTATTTAGTCAATTTAGTGTAAGATAGATAAGACTTGCAACTAATTATCGAGACATGATAACATTTTTTTCAAAAAAATTTCATCTTTTGTATATTTTTTGTCCCAGAAGTAATCTTTCCTTCGCGTGTTTTACTTTAACTTTTAAAAAAATTTAAGTTATCTAAATTCCTTTATAAGAAATTTGATAGAAAGATTTTTTTATTTTTTTGAATTTCTTATTAATAATTTCTTGTGATAATTAAATCATCTGCATATATTAGTGGTATGGCTATTTTTTCTTATGTTTTTCACAAATAAATTAGAATCTAAAGGAGCAATTGTAAAATTATTTTATATTAAGAATTCAATGCCGTACCATATTCTTTAAGCTTGCTTCAAATCATAAAGTATTTTCTTTAATTTGTAGACTTACTCGGGGTGAATTTTACTCCTAAAACATCATAATTTTTCCATATAGATTTCTTTTCATAATTGAATGACAGAGACCAAATTATCTATAAAATAATTATCATATATATATATATATATAACACATGATTTAGTAGAACAAATTAACTTTATGACAATAATAAATGATACATTAGACAATTAAATAATTAAAGAATTTGATTAATAATAAGAAATCTTGAGGAATATATTGTTTGGTAAGACATGATAAGTAATCAAATCACTATTTGTCTAAAAATTATGATTCAGATTGAAAGAAGGAATGAGGTTGAAGGATAGACTTATCAAGATATCATGTAGAAACAAAGACATAACTGAACCGGTGTCGTATCAGTATAGAACGCTGCTTAAAATGCAATAATTAGGAAAGTAGGACTCGTGTAATGGACACGGTGCCAAACTACGGAAAATTCACGTGGTCTCACAGCATGTTCCCTATCTGAGTTATCATCTCACGCGCTCTCTATAACGGAAAAAACAAACGCTTAAAAATCCTTGAGGAGATTCAACGTAAACATAAACAAACTTTCATGTTATTGGTTCGTTCATTCCATGCTCACCACCGAGACATAATACCTTTTTCCAACTGTATTGAGAAGTGAAAAAAATGTCGGATTTATTCTCGTATTTCCACGAAGAAGAGTCGTTAGTTTCCTCCACCGAATGTGAGGCTTCGCCGTCGATGTTTGTCCGGAATGGAAGTCGATAACCAAACCAACCCATCTCATATTAACAGGTTCAGTTTCTGGGTTTTCAATTTCTTACCATTTTTTCTCATGAAATTGCATGCAAGTAGTTCATGTTCTTAGAATTTTGAGATCTTTGATGTCAGCATGCTTTGAACTTGTTTCTTTTTCTGTGAATCAGCTAAGATTGTTACTAAATTAAGAATCTTTTAAGAATTTGGAAGGAGGTTTTTTGTTTGTTGAAGTTAATGCTTATGGGTTTGTCTTAATTATTAAATCTTAATACTAATTAACTGCCATTTTACCCGTTAGTATTGTGTGTTTGATCATGAACTAGATGTTTTGCTCTGTTGTTGATCAACTTCTTGCTTTAAGTACCAAAATGTTCTAAATTTGGTAATAAAGTCTTCGTTTCGCCTAGGGATGGATCGAGAGGGCATTGGATTCAAATTCTAATATAATTTAGGTATTTTATTTGTATTTTATATTGATAATCTAATTTTACACGCATAAAGTTCTAATATAGCTTTCTAAATTCACATCCCCTGCTATGTTCAAATGTTAAAGAAAGAAATTAACCTTTGCCCGCCCATCATCTTCTGGATCACTTAAGGAAAGCATTTTAATTAGCATTCTACTCCTTAAAGATCAAAGATGATTTCTATGATCATTTTCGACATTCGTTTTCTCTTTTAGTTCGTAATGTGTCGGTCATGCTACTTGATATAAATGGTCTTATACTCTATACCTTGAATCTGTCTCTAATTCCCAGTGTATGTTGATTTGCTAAGAAGGTTGCCATCCCTTCCTTTTTGGATGTTTGATTGCAGCATCTAGCCTTTCTTATTCCCATTTTTGTTTCCATTTTCAGCTTGCTTAGCGGCTCACTCAAAATTGTTGATCTAAACAAGAAAAGGAAACTAGAGGCTGAGCAGTTGGGCTTGCCTGTATCAAAGCATCAATGTTGGAAGCAAATCTTACCACCGAAGCCTCCCACTTTTGTCAGTATTGTAGATGGGGCTCTTAGTACATGCACTACCGAAGTAAAGGGATCCGATATTTATGATGCATCTGAAACTGGATCAGATAAAGATAGCAATAGCTTTCCCAGAAATTCCAACTCTATGTCTTCGCATGCTGAAGCTAAATTTGGAACGGTATATTCAAACTATTTACCATACGACAAGGCTTTAACCTCTTCTTCTAATCGAGGATCCATTTCTCAAGGTTCCCGTTGTTCTTCATCCTCGTCAAGGAGTGTTGAAAAAGCAATATTTTCTCCCGGCGAGGAGACTGAAGCAGCTGATGTTGAACTAGACGAGAATATTGAAGAGTCCCTTGTTGAGTATGGAAGTCACATGGACTATATCTGCTCAGAATATGGAAACTACTCCATACAGCAGTACCAAGATAAGGAGATTGAAGAACTTCTTGAACCCAATGAAGCACATCCAAATGATTATGTTCTTTCATCCGGACGATGGAGCGTCAACCAAGGTAATCCCATCATGAATTTGAAAAATATATACGCATTTATGAGGCTTAAGCATTGCTTTTGAAATTCTGCTTCCTTTATACAAAATATCACAATGGTGAACACTATTATATTTACCTTCATATACTGAATGGAGAACTGTACTTTTTTAATGCAGAGGCTCCGCCAACTACGAGGAAACCAACCATTGATCAAGAATTTGAGCAGTATTTTTCCATGCTTATGCTGTAGAGAAAGTACTTCTGTCTGAATGTCTAAGCTGTGTATGTATTGTTGTATATGAATTGACATTAAAGTCAATTTGCAGAATTTGGCTGTATATATGTTTGATAGCAATAAATTGTTGGTTTTATGCAGTTATTATGATTACTTTCCTTTTTCATGATATCTTATTTCTGGTTTAGATCAAAGGGTAGGGGCGTAAATGACAAACCAAGATTTGTTCTGTAACCATTACAGATAAGGGGAAGCTGCAGTTTACTGAAATGATGTGGACCAAAGAGTTCATCAACAATCAAATGAATCAACAGGTGTGAACCATGTTTGCCGAAATTTGTAGTGTAAACTCCTTTAGATTGCCTGAGGTAAGCTCTTGTAGAATAGCCACAGATCGGAATGCACTTGAGACTTTGTTAACTGAAGCTGCAAATTTGTTTGCATTATGAAGTCTATGGAAAGCTGTGTTTTCTGGACAGCGGCCCGTCAATGTCCTGCGGTGAAAAACTTCTTGTCCAAGGTTTCTGGAACGTTCAAAGATGCCTTGTTCAATGAAGTAAGGACTAGCAGCCATGATAAAGGAAGGATTTTACAGAAGTTTGTGGTTTGGCCTGCGGCTACAAAAGGCTTGGTATAGATGGTATCGGATTCAGCTGTGTTGCCTTCAACTACTGTTATGGCTTGGTTGGCAATGCTGAAGAAAATATCATCATTGAGTGCAACATCGATTATGTATATTGCAGACACTCATTTTCGTCCTTGTTTAAAAATGTATTTATGCTATATAGTATAAACGTATTATATGACTATATATTTATTTATAATGTATAGTATATATATATATATATATTGTTTATATTATATAATGTATACATGGCACGCTGTGTACTATAATTACGTAATGTATACGTTACATAACATATATATACATATTATATCGTTACATTATTACACATTTACATATTTTTTTTATTTTTTTAAAATTTTATTTTTCATATCCAACCCAACCTAACAAGCCCATCAGGCCCAGCAGTTCAAGTCCAATGAAGCTAGGGTTTCTGCATGTTGCTCCCAGCCGCCAGCAGCCTCCACCGTTGGAACTAGATGAGATCCAACGGTCCACAACAGAGCTTGGCTAGGGTTTTTACCCTTTTTCTTTGGCTCCGCGCATCAGGGACCGTTAGATCGACCCACCATCTGACGGTCGATATGACTTGGAGAAGTTTTTCATCCATCACCCGTTCATTCTCCAGGATTTTGGACACCATCATAAAGTAAAAAAAAACCCAAAGAAGTTCAGTACACATGGGACTCTAAAAACGAAAATAAAGGAGCATTTTGAGTCAAGATAGGACTCTAAATCGAACCAAAGATGGGGTTTTCTAAGCTTATAAATCCATGCAAAAGGGGGAGAAGAGGACGGGTTTTCGGAAGCAACAAAAATACCGAAAAAATATTCAAACCCATTCGAAAAATAAAAAACGAGAGAAAAGATTGTAGAGAGAATCATATTACCTCTTTTCGAAGCCGAGAAGCCCAAGGTCGCCGGTTTTTCAAAAATACCCGAGAGGTAAAACCTAGATCTACGACTTTAAGGGTTTTTTAGGCTAAACTAAGTGGAGATTCGGCTTGGGAGGGAAAGAGGCGTGTTTTGAGGGTGGTTTCCCCTCTTCGGCTATAGTGAACTGCCGCGGGTCGATGCCGGTGAACGGCGGATCCTCCCTCACCGGTGAGAGAGTTGAGAAAACTCTCTCACTTTCTCTCTCCCTATTTTTTTTGAAATGAACAAAATGAGGAATGAGGTAAGGAAGCCTTTAGGTTAGGTTTATATATCCTCAACGAAACGACGTAGTTTCGATGAGGACCAGTGGCCATTTTTTGTGTGTGGGTAAATCCCACTTTAGGTCCCTCTATCATCTGTAATGTTTCATTTTAGCCATTGAAGGAAACTTGTTTTTTTTTTTATTTCGAGCATTGATGTTTTAATATTTTCAATTTAGTCATGTTATTGTACAATATTTTATTTTTTTATCTTCGAATTTTGTCATTGAATTTTTAATTGTTCGATTTAGTCACTGTTCAATATTTGGTTTAATGATTGTGTGGTCCTGTATGTTTCTGTTTATTTCATTTTAGTCCTTATTCTTAATTTGTGGGTTATTTGTATTTCTAGTACCTTTGTTTTTTAATATTTTCTTTTAACTTTGGTTTATGTATATTTATGTGTACACAAAGGAGAAACAACTTTGAACTTTACCATTGCTTTAAACTTCATAGAATAAATTTCTTCTTCGAATAAAGCATGTGAACTAGATATCATGCGGTTAGGATTTACTTCCTAAAATGAATTATGTCAGGTAGAAAGCATGTCAGGGTAGGATTGCTATTTTAATAAAAGCATACTTGGGTAGATACTATGATTGGGTAGATGTTATATTTATCTTTTTTTATCTTTATCGATTATTTTACTTGCACTAACTCATTTTTTTGCTTACTTTTGTGTCATTTTTCCTTCTTCTTTTTTGCATTGCTTTATCATCATAACATAACATAAAGATATTGATCCATAGATGACTCTTTAATTGAAAGTTTTTTCATAAATAGAGATAAAAGTCTTTAATCAAGTAGTTGCATACACAAACATGCACTGTTGGCTAAGAGAAGTCAAAGAACGAGAAATGTCACTTGAAGATTACGTAATAGAGTTTACTGATAGGACAATGTTCAAGACTTGAAAGATGATCTCTTGATCTAAGAAATAATGCAGTCGTAGATTGTTATCTACGACATTTCCACCATTAATCATCAAGGAGTGACGCACAACTCCAATACCGTAGGGGCATTATCTGGGATGGTTCATATTTTGAATAAAGCCTCTACATAAGCCAAAGAGGTCATAAAGCACTTGAGGGACACAATTTTTTAGGATAAAACTATGAGATAAAGCATAGACCCATTTTATATCTAACGTCCAAGTGATAGCATAGACCCATCGGCATTTTGCATTTGTATGTACATCTACATTTTGGTTTAGCGTTTTGCATATATTCATCTGTACAATCACGACTCTACATTATACATTAAGTTAAGTTTTTTTACATGCATTTAATCATGAAAATATGAGAGTAACTCATGGACGATACCGTGACAGAAGTTCTAAAAGTAAATTGAAGTTACCCGAGTTGTGTCTATAGAAAGATTGAGAGTGATGAACGAGATATTAACACGTGTCAATAGGATCAAGATAATCCAGGAACAACTCGTAAGGACCCAACAAGAAATAATCGATGAAACAAGGATGTTCCAAGTTTAATCAAGAGAACATATGTCCAAGTTGATAAAAATGATGAATGTTGTGATCTATGGGGAAAAGTTGTTAGAGGACCCTGTCGTGCAAGAGGGAGTGATTACTTCGAATCAAGAAATAAATATGGGATGTGGGGTTAAAGTGACATCAACAGATGATCAAGAACCTGTTAAAAAGCAAGGTAACTCAAGCCAGCTCTAAAAGTTAAATTTGGTTCTAGAAGACACTATTGAATTGATAATGAATCAAGAGACAATCAAAGATGAAGGGTTCAAGCTTTACTAAAAAAGAAGAGTCAAATAATAAGAGCAAATGTTGACCAAGAAAGCCAAAAAGGGTCAGGCTTTTATGAGTCCACACTTTGTTCCTTCACAACAATCAAGTAAAAGTAACCAAACCCTATCCTCAAAGCCTTTAGTGGTTGACCCCTCATCAGGAAGTTTATGTGAGGATAAAATGGAACCTTAGAAGTTTTAATTCCCTCAATTCCATTTCTCATCCAAAAACTTACATATTAAAATGCTCAAAGATGAACTAATTACACCACAGTCTGTCACCCCACAATGGCCTCCAAACGAAATTTGGTCTCGTAAGGAAGTTCATTGAATGAACCAATTGAAAGTCATAAATTTTCCCGTTAAGTATGGTAGTAACTTTGAGAGGAAAATTCAAGATCCTCTCAAGCAGGGAATTAAAAAGTGCAAGATGGAAGAGGAAAAGATAAAAATTGAGAACCTGATTAAGAAGATTCCAATAGACGTAACCCGATACTAGCCCAAATTCCTGAATACAAATTGGTCAGGTGCAACCCTTAAAATCTCTCATACATCTGGGTTAGACTTCTTGATAGAGAATGGGGTATTAAAAGGAGAAGTCTATAAATCAGACCGATCGAGCACCTTAAAGGGCTTCATGGGTACACTGTTAAACGTTGTAGCAACAGATACTCTAGACCCAACCAAGACCATCACCTCTAAGGATAATTATTTTGGACCTAGATTCGGGCCTATTTTTCATCTAAGAAAGAACGAGATTAGGAATCTCAAAGAAGTGAGAGAGGATAATCTTTTGGAACGATTGAAGAAACCTTCCAATTTGAATAAGTTTGTACAATGAGATCTTGTTCAGCTAATCATGAGACCATATTCCATAAGAAGATATGAAGAAAGACTCTCATTGGTCCAATCCCAATGACATACGAAGAGTTTCTCCCAATCTTGGTTGAGAAGAACTTACTGACTCCAGTCCAGTCTAAGCCCATGGAGTTCTTATCTCTTGAAGACTATGATGTTAATGTAGTGTGTAGCTACCATATAGGGACCACTGGGCACACTATTGATAATTATGGGCATTAAAGTACAAAGTTCAGAATTTGATTGATTCTAGGGCATGAACCTTTGATGAATAACGAGATGCTCCGAGTGAACAAGCCTAGGTTGTTACCCACTGATCATCAAGCACAGTTGCACTTTGTATTGAGAATATTTTTTTGGAAATTGTTTTCCATCATTTCTTAACTTTCTTATATGTTTTCAAAAATGTTTTAATTAACTTATGTTTCTTTAAGGTTATGAACAATGAATCGATTTCATAATTTTACAGTTCCTTGAATATCAATTGAATTAAAAGCTTTTTAAATATTTGGAAAAGTGACAGGAATGAACCCTTGTAAAACAAGAACCTTTGATCTTACTCCAGAAGATACACTAGAACACCATACCCTTCTCTTGCAGGGAACAATATAGCATTCTCCTCACATGAAGAGACAATTAAAGGCTTGGCATTCAGGTATGTATAGGGGCGGATAAAGTGGGGAATATGACATATACGAGTGCAAAGCTTATTGGTTTCCATTTT